CCCCCCCCCCCCCCCCCCCATATGGTTGATTCATACAACGTTACTGCTACTATCAGTACGAGATTCATTATCGATAGTTGTGTTGGGGCATCAACGCACGAGCACCGAGCGAACATAGAACCCTGACGGAGTAGTTCTTGGCAACGGGGTTTTTCTAATCCCCAATGTAGAGTCAAGTGATACTCTACTTTGTATAGCAACTTCCTGCCTAGCATCAAAACCCTCCGACCCCCCAATGCTAAATGATTCCAACGAAACATAATAGTATGCCGCACTGCGAAAATTCGATACCATTGGGCCAGGGTTTCGGAATTTTCTCTGAAAGGAGCATAATCTTATTTGGTTCAGCCCCAACCGGAACCTTTTACCCTAATCCCAAACCCTTAATCCCCAAACTCTCAACCCCAAACNNGAATATAGTAGGAGTATAGTAGGAATATAACAGGAGTATTGTAGGAATATGATATAAGGAATATAATGGGAATATACCACGGGTTCCCTGTCTTGGGGTTCCTCTTTTTAAAGGTTCGGGATGCCTTGACCTGAGCCCTCAGTCCCCTTTGCAGGCCCCAAGCATTTCTGTTTAGGGTTTAGGGAAAACTGGAAGTTGCCACACATGGGGGATCCTTAGTATAAGGACACACCCCGCCAAAAAAAACAATATATATATATATATATGTATATATATATCACTTATTTTGGGAAAACCCCAAAGTGAATCCAAGCCACTCAGCCTTGGGCTACTGTAACCTTAACAGTAGTCGCCTATATCCCAGCAGCTGCTACGTAGGCAGCTCGCCTCGGGTGTCCATGCAGAGAAATATGAGTTTGGTGGATTCAGGGTTAAGGGTTTTTTCATTCAGTAACCCTAAACCCTTAACCCTCTTTAGGGTTTTGGCATCCTTTTTCAGGACGGCTTCCCGGTGCTTTTCCTTCGTATCCTGCACGTCCTGGTCAGTGAGGTTCGCTTCACCGTGGACCTTGGTTCACTCCTAAAGCGCCATATTACCTACCGCGGTTCAGGGTTAGGGTCTAGGGTTTGGGGTTTAAGGTTGAGGATTTAAGATTTATGGTTGGTTTGAGGTAGAGTCCTTCTGTACGCAGGTCAAGAGATTTCAGTGAGGGCTATCCGAGTTCGTAAAATAGAGGCAGTAGTACTTTTTATGTCACTTGGACCCCCGAAATTGAGCAACAATTGGTTGTCGTGTTGACTGTATTTTTTATAGGCACAATATATGATCGATGTTCTCATATCTTCCCTGGTTCAAAGCACGGAGAAAGCACAACTCACGTGAGGAAAAGACACGGCGCTGCATCTCTGCTCCACACATTCAGCTCTCAGATATGGGCACCTTTCACGCTGGTCACGGGGATGTATAATGAGGTTACCCACATGTGTACATATATATATATGTCCAGACATGTATTACTACATTTCAATATATATATATATACAAATAAACATACACATAAAAATACCAGAGGTATGTCTAGGGCACTCAGGGCCCCATTACCGTGGCTATACTGTAGAACTTTCGGTCCTACCTTCCTACATTCTCCTGAATCTTGAACTCCGAATCCCAAATCCATGCTTGACCTTGGATGTCATGCAGTTTTAGTGATCTTTTATGGGAGCGGAAGCAGGCGCAACTCAAACAAAAAAGGCCTTCACAGACAGGGCTCACCATGGAGCGAACCCTAAACCCTAAACCCTACGGTTCATACTACAAATCCTGCATGACCTTTGTAGACTCTAGTACCATTATTCCCAAGATATCCGGTACTTAGGGTCATGCAGGATGTTTAGTATCCACTGTAGCACCGGACTTCAAGTTTTTGCCCATGGGTCCCGTTGACGTTATCTACTCACTTGCCATGTGCTTGCGACTTGTAGCTGCGCCCTGAACCCTAAACCCTATGTATAGGGTTTAGGGGTTTAGGGTTTAAAGTTGTCCCAATGGTCCTTATTTGTTGGGAACCCTTTGGGTTTAGGGTTTAGGGTCTAGGCCTGTTTGGTACTTCTTCTTTTCAACGAGTTCAGTGGTCCCCCTCGCATCCCCAACCCTTAAACATCCGGCAACCCCTAACCTGAAGCCTTGAACCGTACCTGGACCTCTCAAATACTCATGATATAATCCTGTAGCACCTGTTACCTACAGTTTTATGGCTGATACCCCATGATTTGGAGGGTAATTACTACTAAGCTGTAGCTAACTGGGGTTATAGGATGGCATTCAACACCAAAATGACGATACAAGCCAAATACTTGCTAGCCCCTATCCACTCCTCAAAAAGAATGACCCCCACCAACCCCCTAATAACTCATACCCCCCAGGATAGTGGTTCCATTCGACAACATCAGGGAACACTCGCTGCTAAACCCTCAACCCTAAGTCCTAAACCCTAAACCCTGTCACTTCGGGGAGGGGATGAATTCGAAGCTCCCGCATCAGGCAACAGCAGACAAACTTCCCTTGGTGGAGCTTGGGCCCTGGAGATTTGAGTCAAGATTTAGGGCTTGAGGCTTAGGCTTTGGGGTTTGGGGTTTAGGGTTTAGGGCTTCGGGATGTTTAGGGTTTAGGGGCTCAAGGTTCAGGATTTAGTGTGTGGGGCTCAAGTTTTGCGTTAAGGGTGGGTTACGGTCTAGGGTTAGGGTGACCCTAAACCCTACATCCTAAACCCTAGCAAAAAAACCTAGCTGTCTCTTCAAGGCTCAAGAGGGCCAAGAGGTACAAGCAGGTTTTGGCTGTAGATGTGCCAAGTGCAAATACATTCCGGAATGAGAGCTGAAGCCGTCTGGCGCGGTTTTCCACACTTTTGAGATCATGAAGACCACGCATGGTGCTACATCAAGAACTCATTCAGTAGGGTAAGATTTTCATCTCTACAGTGACTCTACAGACTCTACAGCCTGGTGCTTAAAACCTAACCTTTCAACCCTGAAGCGCATGTTGGGCTTACAACTACAAGCATCAACAGGGGTTGATGTGAACACATCTTTTAAAATTGTACTACCCCAAATCCTGATATATTCCTCAATTCTCATCGGCCCCTGATATCAACCCAGTGGCCCAAAATCCTTATAAACAGCTCAAGAGGCAATTATTCTACATACTTTTGGGGTTCACGTAGTCAAGCCGAAGGTATGCCCACATTCAGGCTCGAGGTGCCATGTGAGCCATAGTCTAAACTCCTTAAACGGGGGTTACATAGGGAAGTGTTCTAGGGCTTAGTAAGAAGGAGACTAGGAGTTTAGACTATGGCTCATATCCACAATTTTCTGAAATTTTGTGCAGAATTTGTTGCAGATTTTTGTGCCGACTCAACAGCCCGAATATGCGGACCTGTACCGGAATTGCTGTACTGGGTGTGCAGTAGCTTCATGAGTTATAACGGAATCCAAGTTCAAAAGCAGCTGGCGGCAACTTCCAGAACTCTTTTTAGCCCCCTCAATTTCAGGAATATAATAACCCCAATATAACACCAATATACTATAGTAGTTTCCATTTTATTTTCCATTATCCCAATATAATAACCCCAATATAACACCAATATAACACCAATATACTATTGAGGAGGCTCCCTGGGAGCCATGGGCCTTTCACCCCAAACCGAAGCCCTTGGGGACCTGTGCACATTACATCTTGAAACCCCGAGCCCCGGAGACTTTATGGTCCCCCTTAAGTAGATAGAATATGGGGTATTTGGGGATCTTATTATAATATACCCAAAGCCATATTCTATCTACTTAAGGGGGACTATAAACCCAAGCAAACCCTTTGCACTTCAGACCGTGAACCCTAAATGTAGTGGGTCAGGGTTTAGGGTTTATAGGGCTTAAGTTTAATGTAATAGACCCTACACTCATGCAAGGTCCTTGAAGAACCTGCTGCTGGTGATCTCCGCAGCGTTGGCCTGAGCCACCGAACTGCGAACTGCAAACTTGCTAGTTGTTATTGTTATGGGTCCCCCTACTACCCCCATCTATACTACCCCCCTAGGTCCCCCCCTTACTAAAGCTATTAAGGGATAAGTAGGCTCAATTAAGGTTGAACCCTGGAAGGGGGGAGTACTGCGGGGGGAGTAGGGGAACCCCTGATATCAGGAAACTGAGAACCAAGTGGAAGACCAAATAGAAAATGAAAATGGAGCTGCGCGTTTCTGGGGATATGTAAGTCTAGGGTAATGGAAAAGGAAACAGCAACTATTGTTATTGGGGATTGTATAGGGGCTCCAGAGGAATTCAATCCTCACTTCTCTACGAACAACCAGCAAGCAGAGCAGGAGATCCCTTGTCAAAGTCCCCTACTACAGTATCCATGAATTGTGGCTCCTGCAAGAGACCACAACTCCCAACACAGCCATGCACCGCTACATCCATCCAAGTTTATCAACTGCAGCTACTTCCCATCCGAAGTTGATGTAACAAACACACATGCGCCGTACTTCTTGCAAGTTGCAACAGCGCATGCTTGCTTGCTTGTTGCCCGTGTGCCCATGAGTATGCCAATCATTCTCGTTACAAGCAGCATGTTCACATCCAACATGAAGCGCTCGGGCAAGAATCCGGGAGCTTGTGGAGGCTGCAAGAAAGACGAACAAGTTCTTGAGCGGCAGAAGTCCATCTCTCGACTTCTGGCGTCACTCTTACTTGGCATAACTGACCCAGAGATATTCCCATTCGCAGCATGAGCTCCCCGTTTTGTTCTGTGGGCGTGTGGCGTCGTTCCACTTGCTCTTAGTCTTCCCGAGCCACGCAAGCTTGGCCATCCTCGTTGCAAGCACAGGAGAGTCTGTTGATACCAAAATTCTTGCATGACCGTAGTCTAACATGATACTCGATTTCGCTAGATGCTTGGTACCGAAGGTGAGTCATTCAGGATTCTTAGCATCCACCGGTGGACATTCAGCTGAGCATCATCAAGCCAGCAGCGGGCATGTTTCTGAGGGGCTGGGCTTTATGTCAGGCAGTGTAACATGCTGAACAGACTGTCCAATGCGAACTACTTGGAGGTCCATGGGTGGGTATCTCTTGATCACGAATGCCTACATCAGCTACTCATGAACCTTCAAGTAGCTGCCGAATCCTGTCTCATGTGGCACTATGTTTTCCCGAAGATCTTAGAACACAGATGCTGCTGCATCGCCGTCAGCAGCAATTTCACATCCAACACGAAGCGCTCGGGCAAGAATCCGGGAGCTTGTGGAGGCTGCAAGAAAGACGCACAAGTTCTTGAGCGGCAGACGTCCATTTCTCGACTTCTGGCGTCACTCTTACTTGGCATAATGGACCCATCTGACCCTGAGAAATCCTTTGCGCGGCATGCTGGGTAAGAAAGTGCGCCCGCTGTGGCCTTTCGCGTTTGTTGCGCTGTTGGCCTGTGCTGAGCAGCTAGACGACGTGTGGCCCTATAAGCTATATCCAAATCATGAGCGGCAGGCTTTGCCCTGTAGGTTTTGGCGTCTTTCCACTTGGACACAATCCTCCTTTTATCTCACATTGCAAGCTAGCACAGCGCATACGTGTCGCCAGCACAGAGCACTGCATATTGGGCTGGGGATCGTCAAGATAGCATTGTGTGTCGGGCAGTCTCTGCATGAGTCTCTGCATGTGAGGCAAGATGGGTAGTTTTGACTGGCTAACAGACTAGACTAGATAGCTAGAACAGTCTGGGCCT